AAAGACCGCACATGCAATCAAAGGGACGAAAAGCCGAAAACGAGGGTAAAGTTGATATATTCGTAACAGTGATTTAATTAATTGTATTTCCAGTTTTTTTAAGGTATTAGCACCCTAATGCATTACCTCCGCTTTGAAGAGTATTCAAACAGGCTAGAATTACTGTTAACTACATTGAAAATGAGGGCCATGGGTTCAATCCCCAGAAGGGTCAACTTTTTTTTCTTTCTTTTTTTTCTTTTAACATTATTTATGTATCTCTCATGTCCCATGTGGAAAGCAAAAAAGTGTTTAATTGTGAATTTTTAATTTATATAGGTATTTATTGGCTAAATTATGCTAAATCCTAGTAATAAATATGGTACCTCTGATATTTTTCAAAAGTGAAAATATAATCAAAACTAGACGGTAAAAGTATTTCATATTTTACAAGATAAACCTCCAATATACTTTTTTAAAAATTTAGGGAAACTTTGAAAACAGGCACTCATTTGGGTAAATTTTTAAGAATTTTTTGAATTAGGCTCCCTAAGTAGAAAAATGGTCAGACATGGTTGGTAAAATGGGTGGGGGTTAGGGTTACATTTTTTATACAGATTTCATAAATTTTAAGTTAGAAACCCATAATCTTTGCTTATGTGGACTGTTAGCCTGAATGTACTTTTTGTTTCTTACCAAAAATTCATGGGAAAACATGTTTCATTAGAATGTTATTAAGCAGATTATCTAAAGTTCCTCATTTCTAAAAAGGGCCCTCATAACATCCTAGCTTGAGTTCAGAAAAGTGGCCATAACTTGCTATTCCGTACGGTAAACTTTGTTTAAATTTTGCATACAGGTGTACTTTAAGGTATACATCTGACCTATGATGTCAATTCTTTAGTTCCTGATAGTGCCCATTAGGGTCCTAATACCTTAATATCCAATTGCATAATTGATTAATAGTTACTACTCTTTCTTTGCTCATATACAATGTATTGACATGCTTTCAAAAAGTTTTCAGGTAATTTTTTCATATCAGTCCCAAATACGTAGTAGTTGCTATGTTGATCACACAACCTTTTTCTTTTAACTGTGTATAAAAGAAATATTTGATTTCAATATATGAAAACGTGTTATATATACTGTACATTGATTTCAAAAATGGAGACACTCGGTGTAAATTTTTTAATGTAAATCATGAACTATTTAGTGCGGACCGGGCGTTCTGCTGGCGAAGACGTTATGACGGGGGGCGGGACCGACAAATGGGTGAGGAAGAACCGACATCAAAAGCGTTTGAGATATCTCCATCAACAAGCTTACAGTGATATTAATACAGCATTTAAAGACAGATCTTTAAAAAGTATTGGTTCTATGAGAGAGATGTCGTTTAAAGCGGTTCTTCAGCATTTCTTTATTGGGTTTGATTAACATTCTTTGCTTTTTCAAACTAAGTATTTTCAGTAATATTACCTAGGAAAAATGCATCAAATCACTGTTAAGCCTTGTTCAAAACAGTCCTACGAGAGCTTTTTATAGCGCGCAGTGACATTCGTTTCTGAAAAAACAAATCTTCCTCGATATACATTTACATATAGAGATCGGACAAGGAGATAGAGGTATCGAAGGGTTTCGTTTATTGTTAATGTACTTTATCGACGACAAATTTAATTTTTAAACGCTTAATCATTTCGATTTGATAATTACATGAAACGATTTATCGTAAAAAATAAACATATTTAACCTTAGAAAAGCTGAAGGCCGCTTTGTGTTTTGTGGTTACTTTTATTTTTTGACTTTTATGGCATTTTTTCTTGTTGGGTGGTTCCAAATATTTCTACTTGAATAATGTTGAATCACCCTTAGGAGATGTTGCCTGCTTTTTAAATTTGTCTTTTGACGTCATATCTGTGATATGCAGGCTTCATAACCGCTGATTCCCTTTCAAATTTCATTTTATTTAGTTCTGCCCATTGTTTTCTCGGTTAGGGCACACGCATTCCTTTAATTTGGGACCATACGCCGCTTTTCATGGAATGGCACTGCTGTGTCACATTGAAGGTTCCATGATCAACCACCGTATGTACACATCTGCGGATGTTTCTAAATTCAAAATTTCACCATTACCATGATATTAAAGTAATATTGCTCAAGCCGGTGCTAGGGGCGTGAACGGTAACTTGCACTTTCCATTACCTCCATGAACAGGCTCAACAAACCGAGCCTGCAACATTTTCAATTTTGTCTTGGGCTTTTTTTTGGATTCTTAATTTATCTCTATTTTAAACCTGTTAAATTTGTTCAGTGAGAGAGTTGCGTACACCTGTTGAAAATTGTACATTACTTTAAAGCATTTTTATAGACTTTACTATACAAAAGACCTTTGCAAGCATACGCACCAATCTTGAAATTCTTTATCTATGATTTTGTTACAAAAATTTAAGAAAAATTTCAATCAAGTGATTCTTTTCAAATTTAAAAAAGTGAAAACCTTGTACTTAAAACCACTTTTGAATAATATTTTAGTTTTGTCGATGTTGTTATCAACCAAAGTTCCTTTATGAGTATTTAATTTATTCTAACGGAAGTGACATTCTGCAAAGAATGTCTTTATAGTTATCATTTTCATTATTATCATATAAAATTGTTTATCACATATCCGTGCCGATTTTGCGACTCGATAAATATGGTATTGCACGATCACGCAAACATGTACATGTATATTGCGTTATACACACAGTGTGAAGACGAGCTTAATGTGATCGTTAAACTATAGGCGCGTCACCGAAAACTGATTAATTTTTCACTTTAAACAGTCTTAATTGTAGGTATGTTGATAAAAATATCTATTATAATTCGTGTAGGTTCATTTACTGAATGTTATTGAACGAGTTGAATAAAATAATATTTTGCTGGCATAATATAACATTCATTCAGTATCCCTATGTATATTAAAATATTCATGACCACAAATAGGAGGCAATCTATTTGTGCACTTTATTATCATTTGATAGACAGCTTAAACAATATATTTTATTCCAGAATCAAGTTCAAGGAAACGAACTTCCGTCAAAGCGTCCGAGCAATCACCCGGACATAGCCGGACAACATCTGCTGATAAAAGTTAGTTTTAGATAAAGTACAGTTTTTGGGATTGCAATATTTCTTTCTCTAGCATTGTAATGGTCATATCACGACTTATTCATTTTCACTGGTTGAAAAAGCATCAGGTGCCCCTTCGTGCATTATTTTAAGCACCTGAGGTAGAAACAGCCGACGTTCCTTTAGCTAGTTGGATAGCTTCCTCACATAATCAGATTCATACATTGGCATGATTTTCACAAAATAAAATTTTATATAAAAATTCAAAGTAATGTGGAAAACGTTAATATATATGTTCACTGTATCTCCAAACAAACTTAACAAAATATATTTAAAACATTTAATATGTGCATAATCTATACAAAATCGTCTTCAATCTTTATAATTTAAACACTTTTAATATTAAATTCTTGTTTAAGATAGAATCATGGAGCATTTGAATATCAGAAAAAATATAATTTTAAAAGATGATATTCATAAGAAGTTATTTGGATTTTAAACTGAATTTTGCGTTTTCTTTAAGATTTTTTTTTAAAAATGAAATAAATTCCTATATTTGCAGCCAGTACTTCAATGCCCATGACATCGGTTGGTACAAACAGATTTTCAATGGACACATCTGATGGGACAGCACCGTCTAGCAGCCGGCAGTCCTGGGACCATCAAGGATGATACCGGCGCCACCAGGGGGGTGCGCGAAATATCATCACCAGTCCACATCTCGAAGATATTGATAACAAGTCGGCAGCATCCAGGTTGCAATAATGAAAAATATGTTTTGTAGCTTATTTAAACAAGTTTATCTGTTAAAAATTACATTAGTTAAAAAATTAGTTAAAAAAATTTTATGGAAAGAGGGACTAGGGTTCTTTTTAGAGTTTTGAGGGTGTCAATTTAGAGATGGCTGACATAATTTAAATTATACAAAAATGATAAATACTCAAAATTATTTGTATCAACTTACTAAGATTTCAAATGGAGGGGAGAACCAAATAGGATTTGGAGCACCATATTAAATACTGTATTACGATATATACCGGACAAGGCTCTTACATGCTAAAATCACGCCTTTTCACCTACGAACTTTCAAAAGGTACTGCTCCAACTTTGGGTAGCTGTTTCTCTATGTCCGAATTTCAATGATTAATAAAAATAATTCATGTTTTGTTAAAGTCAATTTTTAATCCCGTTTTGGACAATTTCATAAATCTTTTCACTGACTGGAAACAGTCAATTTCCTTTAAAAATAATATGGAATAATTGTTGTTTTTTTCCCCTTAAATCAATATAAGGATGCAATTTAGTTTATAGTGACATCGGTAATCATTCTGTTAACAGGGCAGATGTAAATGTATATACATTTTAGAGCTATATCTTTATAATTGGGATTAAAATTTTACAGCTGTTGTAGCTTGTACATTTTGTGTATTTCAGTCGAATGCAAAACTTCGAAAACCAACTCTGTGATACAGTAGATAACATACTGCTTTTGCTGGGACATAAGCCTAGCATGCCAAGAGAAAAGGCACCAGAACAGGTTCGACCGCCTGTAATACAGCCAACAAGGCGTGGACCCCGGCTTGTGAAATCTCCAAATGATCTCGCTAAACTACTTGAAAAAATGTGATCCTTTAAAGAGATATAAACAAACTATTGCTCATTAATTACTTACAAAGACATAATTTTCAAAATATTATCTACTTAAAAAAACTTTCAGAATCCATTTAAACGCCAATTCCGTTAATTATTATAAAAAAATGGATTTATTTTCAGTTGAAACTTTCAACTGTCTTTTTTTAAATTAAAAAAAAAGACAACATTCATATCGCAAAAAACATTTCCTCGTCAAGTTTGAAGAAGTATTTTCATTTCGAATTAAAGTGACATTATGCTCGTTTTGTAAATTTGCAAGTTGTGTGCTGACTTGACAATATATTTCAAAAGATTGTCTGTTATAGTGGAGGCTGACCAACAGTTGATATTGAAAGAACGTTTAGGATGAAATATAAATATGCCTTAAATATACAAAAAAGATTACCCCACTGTTTTTTATCAATCGAAACGTTTCAGGAAAATGCGGATGGATATTTATAGAAATTTCTTTAAGATTGAAAGGAATTATGGCAAAATATAAATTTATCTTGTTTTTCACATATTTACTCACAATCTATCATTTGATGGGCATAATGTCACTAAGAAGCATTTCAAATACATGCACGATTGTTTGGTTTAAGAACAGATAACACTATGTTTATTAATTGGGTTGCAAACAAAAAAAGAAGAAGAAAAAAAACAGTTAAGATCATTCGTACCATATACGTTTTGTAATGGCACTGGTTAATACAATACATTTGAATCATGGTTAAATGATAAGAAAGTAGACCAACCCATCATTACATACCGTTGCAATGTACACGTACACTTTCTATATTGTATTAACACCCTCTGTTGGTAAGTGTACAGGTATAATTTGCATATTGCAGTATTATAAACCAAAACATGCTTGCTGTATGGCAATTTATAAATTGCTGAAATTCGAAATTTACTCTAACATTTATATCATTGAACCCCCATTGTGTTTGATATGTAATGGCGCATATGTCCTTTCAGAGTATTATTATTCTATTTAGAGATGTATAAAGAGAAGATACCAAAATGTCTCAGCTTTTGATATAATATTTGAAATGTAATTGATGATAATAATAATAAATTTATACAACATACAACTGTATATGATATTATTATTACTGATGCTTATCTTATATCAAGAAAACAAAAAAAACCAAAACCCAAGCAACCAAAATAGAACGAATTTAAATGTGCAAGGTTCATAACAGCTCAAATTACGGATATAAAAATATAGAATTGTACGTGCAAGAACAAGTCAATTGAAAATCAGATTAAAACAATATATGCATGTACTCGTTTATTAAAGTCGAAATTTTAAGCGTTTTAACTTTCTTAATTAAGGTAATAACACCCATCGTGGAAGCGCAACACCTTATTATTAATGTTTCATACACGTACATTACATTCTAAAAAGATTAGAAGCTAAGAAAAACGACTGTTTTCATTTAAAAGATTGTAAAAATATAGCTAAGATTTGTGATAGTAACTTTCAAATCTAATACATTTGTATATTGCATCCACAGTTAAAATAGTTAATGAGAAAAGTATATGCCTATTCTGTTTAATTTATCTACATATATGTTATACTCGAATTCTTCTGTTTAATGTATCTACATATTAGTAACTTTCAAATTCTTTCTTCAAATTTCATATGCAAATTTTTATTTTTTACTCAACAAATGAATCAAAAACGTAGCTTTCGGTTGACACATAGTTCAAATGATTCAGGCAAAATTTAGCTCATCCACATGAAAGCTTAGTTATTACCAATCAGATCCCACTAAAAACAAGAGGAAAAAGAAAACCCTCAACAAATTACAACAGATTTAACATTGAACGCCGCCCTATCATGTTGATCGTATTTTTCATATTTTTTAGAATCCTACTTATACTAACCCTTGGGAAAAATAATTTCATTTGTCTTCTGACAAATAACAGAAGGCTGATAAAGAGCTGTATCAAGTATCTGAGTATAATAAACGCGATTTCACGGAATTTTATTATCCAATTATGTAGAGGACTTACATTATCGGAATAAGGTAGACAATGTCTTCTTTGCCATAACTCGAGATACATTTAGTCATTTCTTCTCTCTCATCCGTCATAAAATGCTAATTTCGAGATGGCGATTGTGATTTATGTTCTATAAATATTAATGAGAATGTTGTGTTAATGTATAAATCTATAGTGAAGTAGATAAGGACAATAAAATAAGGAAGGTTTCGTTTAAAAAGTCTAAATGTCAATTACTCATTGATCCTGTTATTATAAGGTTCATTTTTTATCTGATTTTTATCTGTGTATCATAAGAACTATTGGACAATCGTTTATCTTACTTGTTTTGATATGCTCATTTCTTAACGAATGAAATACTTCATGTAAATGTGTTTATTATATGATATTTGATATATCATTGTGATTCAATTTCCATCATTTGCATTTGCAAAAAAAAAAAAACATAGTGTGTACTTGTAGAAGTGTGTACTGTGTAAATCGTGCAACCGAGTTACTTTCCTTTACTACCAGTTTTATAAGCCAATACTTTAGGAGATTGGTAGCCTGGGATTCAGGCGTTGATATTTTTTGCTTATTCATAACTTACGCACTATTTCATGTCGACTCGATCGTCATAGATAACACAACATCTAACAAAGAAACATTGGAAAAGTTTTGTTTGGAACAAAAAAGTGTCACTATGATGTTTTTATTAAATCATTATCCAACATTCTAATACTGACCAAACTGATTTAGATATTAACTTTAAGGAGAACAGAAAGTATTGTTATCCAACAATTTCCGAAGAACTGAAAAAGAGATAATAAAATAATATACAAAATATGTAAAAATTTTATAATATAAACTTTACAAAAAATCCAAGACTTTCTGTTAAAAATAAATTCAAACTTTGTACTTGATACTACAATATAATATATTTTGCATATTGTACCACATAGGTCTTTGCCCTTCTGGGAAAAGATAAATAAACTTTTTAAACTTGTTAACTTGTTATAAAAAATATGAATTAATCAAAAATAGAATGTTGTAAAAAAGTTCGATAGTATAATTAGATAAATGCAATTTAATTAATCTGATGTATATAACATACTGATGTTTATCCCATTTTAAATTAGCAATATCTTTATACTTACTGATCGGTCATTTCACAAATGTAGTAATAGTTATCATGACATCTACAGTCATTCCATAAGAAGTTCAAAGGCATATAAAAGCATGCACAATTCTCATTGTCTAGGGCATTATCAGGTTGCCCAGGTGCCCAGTTAGTGAAACTATCAGAGGTAAGTAAAGTTTGGCTATTCATCCACATCCATGTGCCTTCTTCTTCGACATCCGTGAGCCCGATCCAGAAAGTTTCTAAAATTGTATCAAAAAAAATCATAATGCCACACAGCCACATCTAATTTTCTTCATGAAAATGATGCCCTTAATTTCTAAACACTATTGCATCTTTTTTTCCAATTGACTAGCTGGAACAATCTATATACATTGTACATAATTATAATTAGCATTGTCTTAAATTTTGAAAATTGAGTACCGCTAAAGTCGGTGCTAGGAGGCGTGAGGGATTTTGCACTTTTTCAATATCCCTCGTGTACAGAACCAATCAAACCGAGTCTGCATAGTTCACCTAATTTTGTTGTGATTTATGCTTATGTGGGACTACAATGTCTCCAGATTTCAATATTTAATCTCCTATATTTTAATGTCATACCCAAAATGCTTAACATTTTTAGTATTCTTGCGCGCTATGAAACAATAAATGAAGTAATGCCAAATCAACTTAATCTATCAGATTTGGCTTCCCTATCACAATGCTAAATTACTTATAAAAAAGAAATTCAGCAATGAATATATTTATGATTATAATGTGCCTAAATGTATTGAAAAGTGAATGTTGAAGTATCAAAGGAGAAAAATTTATGGGTAATTTTCATACTGCATTTGGTAATATTTCCGTGTTGTTAAAAATAACAGTTTCAAATTAGACTGCATTTCCATTTATAAACAATATAAAGAAACTTTGCATTGTTTAGTGACGTTTCTTCGAAATAAATAAATCTTACTAGAACATGCAGAAAGAAGAACTTACCTTGTTTGTTCTTACTGACGGCAACGCTATTTAACTTTACATAGATGTCTCAATCATTCAGAATGTTTGAGTATTATGTCAAAAACTTAGACAAAACCCACTGAACATGGGTACAAACAAGATGGCGAAAACTTGAGGAAAGACATTTAGTTGTAAATGACCCAATAAAAATGAATATGTAGTCATTTTTTTATATTTATTTTAATGCTTGGATATGGGGAATTCGTATTGGTCGTTTAATAAGTTTGAAGAAGTTGGGGCTCGGTGATGTCTACCTGATTTTAAAGAATATTAATGGCCACTATATGCGTCCTATGTCAAAGTACCATAATTTTAGACAACATGTGTCTTCAATGCTGTTTTTAGCAATTTAAGATTAGACCTAAATGTTTACGTTGTGAATGTAATTTTACAAAAATACTCCAAATAAACTGTTTCGTGAGCCAAGGTACTTAGCAGATTTTATATTGTATCTTTTTTTAATGCATGTACTTGTAAATGGGAATGTTCTTCAATACAGGTCGAACAATAGCACCATAATTAAAACCTTTAATGCACCGTGTCAAATTTGATCATTTTATTATATCATATTAAAAATCTTACGTTTACGAAGCTTTACTTGAGCTTTTATGAACGCATTCTCATTTACATCATTGATTTCAACGAGCTGGCCCTTCATCTCTCTACAAAAATGCTGTAATATTATAAAGGCATTTTAACTCATTTGATTCAAAATGCAAAATAACAATGCTGACATAGTTAAAATGAAATTGTTGGGAAAAATAATTAATCATTGTTTCTGGAAAATTCCACATGTTTCAGCTGGTTTCATGTATTTCAAACAATCACACATGTACTCAAGATCTATAAATATATCTATATAAAGCCAACTGAAACGGCTTTGGAATAAATATAACACAAAGAAAAATGTGCAACTCAAACAAATCAAGATTTTGAAGGAGATAAATCAAAGATTTGTTAGGAGATATATCAAAGATTTGTAAGGAGATAAATCAAAAATTTGTAAGGAGACAAATCAAAGTTTTGTAAGGAGATAAATCTAAGATGCAGAAGGAGATAAATCAAAGATTTGTAAGGAGATAAATCAAAGATTTGTAAGGAGATAAATCAAAGATGTGTAAGGAGATAAATCAAAGATTCGAAAGGAGATAAATTAAAGATTTGTAAGGAGATAAATCAAAGATTTGTAAGGAGATAAATCAAAGATTTGTAAGGAGACAAATCTAAGATGCGGAAGGAGATAATCAAAGATTTGTAAGGTGACAAATCAAAGATTTGTAAGGAGATAAATCAAAGATTTGTAAGGAGATAAATCAAAGATTTGTAAGGAGATAAATCAAAGATTTGTTTTGTTAGGAGATAAATGAAAGATGCGGAAGGAGATAAATCAAAGTTGCTGTAGGGATTCAATCTAAGATGCGAAAGGGGGTATATGTGAGTTGCTGATTTGGAATGATACAACTCTAAAGTATAACAGGTGAGAAATCATAAAATAAGTTTGAAAGGTGCGAACATTTGTTGAATACATGCAAGGTATAGATGTTGAATACATACAAGGTATGGATGATGTGAATGCTTTTTTACATATACTGTTATTAGGACAAAACGTAAACTAACATGTGCCACTGCCTACCTCAGTTTTATTGCTATAAAAACATTATCATATGATAAGTAAATCAAAATGACCTACCTGCGCCCCTGTCCAAGGTTCTGTGTCATGGCTAAAATGGTAACAAGATGAGCCATGAGTCACCCACCCACTACGACAACCAAATGCTAGGAAAATAAAAAAACAGAAACTTGTAATTTTAATTGAACTGTTTTTTATGATAAGTATGTTTTACAAATATATGTAAATAGTTTCCGTTTTTTATAAACGTCTTATAGATTTATATTACTTATTAAAGAGTTTTTCTTTGTTTTGTTAAAAAGTACATGTATGTTATTACAAATTGTTCAATGAGTTATTTTAATATATTCAACCTATCCTTTAAATGCTTCAAACTCTACAAATATATTATATCTTAGCATATACTTATATATAATGAGGTTAAGTCCAGTAACATACATATATCAAACCATCTCTAATGAAAAAAGTTCATGTAAGACTTTCAGCTAATATGTTACGTTCGTATGAAGACGTAATTATTAAGCTTGTGTAAGTTTCGCGCATGATTAAAGGTTTCATTTCTTAACAACATTAATGATTTTCTCAAATGATGTATTAAAGACCCAAAGAACCTATGAAGTTAATAAACTATTACATCTTTTTAAGGAGGATCGTGATACAAATATTTTAAAAAAAATTAGAACAAAGATCATCAAAGCACAGATCGACATCCAAAGAAAGCAGCAACGACATAACTTAGGGTACTCAGAAAAGCGTCGAACAAAACCGGGAAAGGGCTGTAAATGGAAAAGGGGGAGTGGCATGTTATACGTAAATAATAAAAACTCAAACAGCAGATGCAGGAATTTAACGGACAATGATTGGGTAAAAGGATAAAGGGGGAAGGGCAAACGATTGGATATAAGGGAGAATTGAAAAGAAATACCGGTCCGGTAACGAGATATGACATCACAAAACATGTTAACATACAAAACATGTCACACAAAACATTAATGTTCACGGAGTGAAGGAACACAGATTGGTACCATCTATAGAAGACTAAAACACCACTGGGGAGTTTAAACAGGTTATAGACTAAATCTTACTTAGGCTACCAGAGCTCCAGATAGCGTGCGTATCTGCGTAAAATACGCATAGAAAATCTAAAATACGCATCACTTTCAAAATCCATGCGTCAAAGTTACGCACAACAAAATGAAAATACGCTTGTATGTCAAAATTTAAGCGTGAAAGAATAGAAGTGGAAACATTTGATATTTAGAAAGAGGATATTTTTAGCATAAAAATCAATATATTTCCATTTTATTGCTTTGAAAACTAAAAATTATGTTTTCAACATCGCATGTTAAAAACGAAAGTAACAGGAAGTACAGAAGGGAGATAACTCTCGTAGATCAACCTGTGAAATTAGCCAGCTAATCATCATAGGATTTAACATAGTTTGTTTAGGCATCTATTGACATGCTTATGCCTCAATATTATAACAAATATATATTTCAATTTCTTTCACTTTTGTTGTTGGAACAAAAAAGACATGTTTTTCACCTGCAGTTTTGTACTCAATATTTTCGTACCCAATACACAGTTACGAACAATTTTCTCTCAGACCAATGCCTTTTTAAGGAAAGATAAAAAATCTTGTTTATTTTTCTTTAATTTTAATTTCAACTATAATTGTTCAAACTGGAGTACATGATAAGGTACATGCCAGCAGAAATAAATAAAGAAAATATTGACTCCTAGAATATAAAATAATTCCAGGGCTTCCACTATTGGAAGTTTGGGAGTCATTTACTCCTTCATTTTGGCTTGTGACTTTCAAAATCTAATACTTTTCCTTCTTTACCTATAAAATGTGACTTCCAATCTCAGAGATTTTGAAGTCTGACTTCCAAATTTTGAAAATGGAAGCCCTGATAATTTTGTTGTGTATACACTGGAAGTCTGACTTTACAGAGCATGTTTTGTACTGTTTCACATTAAATCAGTATCTAATTTGTAAAAGTTTTTCTAAAAAAGAAAACAAACAAACAAAAACAATATTGTAAGATTAATTTGTTTATAAAAAATGCAAAATGCTTTTTTGACAGATTTTACCCCTTATGTTTTTCAGAATTTGCATTTTACATTAAAGTAATGCCTAGTTTTGTTATCAGGTCAACAAGGTTTTGTGATACGTTTGTCTTGTCGATTGCTTGATATATTTACAAACTCTTGCTTGCATAATATCATGTAACTGGTTGATTTTGTACTGTAATACTAGCACTTATGCTAGCATAGGTTGGATAATTTACTATTAGTATCAAAGTTGTGTTCCATATATTTTTATCTCCATGTCTCTTTGATCTTTTATGTCTGTATATAACATCGTGGAAGAAACATCTCAAACGTCTGGATGACACAGCCTACTAATTGGCGGTTTCCGGTATTCGACTGTCCTAGGTCTCTAAAGACCGACGATCGGAAATATACAGACTAATTATCAAATCAAAATTTAGTCCCCTACTTTTGTAATTATTTTATATCAAACATAATCTAAATGAACTGAAAAGACTAAGGGGAAAAGTTTAGATTTCAGGATAAAAGTTTATTTGTGTCAGTGTCTTGACTTTGACTCAAATGGAAAAAAAAATATTTAGTTGCTTATAGATGTTTTAGTAATTCAGAACTAACGCTTATTCAAAAAAATTATATACATTGTATACTAAATCAATTAAAAGTCATTTTGAAAAGCACCTTTCATAATACTTCGATTTCTAAAGTCATATCATTAACAATGTCAATTTTTTTATTTCAGGTTGTTAAAGAATGATCTCGAAATACCTTAGTTTAAAGTCAGACAACGTTACCATTTAAACATTGCACCCAAACTTTTTGTTTTTGAAATTGATAAAAATAATAATAATAATAAGAAAAAAAACAACAAAAAAACAACACAGTATCGTACGTGACGTACTTGATTTTCTCCCAATAAGAAATAATATATATGCATATTTTAATATATCTTTCTTTTAAAGGACCTTTCAATTATAGAAATAAACAGCGAGGAAGTTTTAGTCTGATAAAAATGAAGAAAAAGATAGCACATGTTTATATCGTTACATTTGTACAGTTATAATGAGACATGATACTGCCATTTTTATTCATCTTTAACTTCCTTATAGAGTTATTTCCCAATAAAAAGTATTATTTAACTAAAAAAAGCTTTGTTTCTCTTCAGAATAAATTTAAAATGTCTCGTGAATTAGAAAAAAATTACACAAAACACATTCTTGATTTATAAAAACGACTTGACAATGTATGATTAGAAATTTAAAACTGACCATTTTTTTTAAAGGGTGTACATATAACACTCTAATTGGCTAAATAAATCATTTAGAGGAATACGACTATTCGATAACGTTGTTTCCATATGTGGAAAAGTTTTAACAAGAAAACATAATTATTATAACACAAATAAATTATATAAGTTCCCTTACAAAATGTTCAACTTAATAATGAATTGCGTAATTTTTGTCACAAGCATTATTCAAGTACAATAATTATTATTTTACCCCCTTAGTTAACCTTTGAAATAAGTTAACAAATAATCTATATTTTATCAGTTATTGCACTTTCCAGTACCAAACCGAGTCTGCAACAATTTTAATTTGGCTTTTCTGGCAGTTATTTTTTCTATTTTAAAAATGTTGGTCCTCCTTTTGGATGAGAAAAATAACATTTTTCAATATATTGTTTTATTTTACATATTAACTGAATCCTCAACACCTTGTCATATTATATTACTAAAGATCAAATACGAAGAGCAACATTCTACGCATCATCTGCTATATCCTGTCGCAAGAGCAACCGCCAGGGAACCAAAACCGGAGATGATGTTGAAAGTGATGAGGCCACCTTAGGGGAGAGATTGTTATAACAGCTAATTAAAAGTCTGGGGTCCTCCCGGGCTCCTTGCAACTGGCTCTTGTTATTGGGTCGGGTGGGGGTTGCGTTCATTGAACGCCGCCTTTCCTTGTTGATCTTGTTTAACATATTGTCATTAAGAGTTTTGGAAATAAGAAGGACGATAGACAGTGAGGGAGGCAAACAAATAAAGAGTTTCTTCTCTATTTTACTACAGTTTTCAGTTTCAAAATACTTGAAAAAAATACTCAACTGAGATTTTTTTACATGAAAGGACTGGAAATAGTTTTTCGAGATTAATGAACCATTTGAGGTAGGTCTAGACCAATAACTTTTCTCATTCCGTAAATCCAGGAAAATATCTTTATTGTAAAAATCAACCCAAAATTGAAAATTGTTTGAACGCCTTGTAAAAAAAGTACAAACAATTTATTTTAATTTTTTTCAGGGAATATTTTTTTATTATGACTAGCATATCAGTCTGTCTTAAGTGTCCCAGTTAATCTATGTAAGAATGTTCTCTGACTTATTGACCTCAGTGGACTCCTTTTAAGATGGTGTTGTGCTTAATAATTTCTTTCCGGCTAAAACCGTTAAAAACATTATCAACACTATAAGTACTTCCTGTTGTTTGTTAGATTTGTAAATATGTCGAATCTTAATCAACTGAATCTTTTAACTTCCCGATCTTCAAAATAAGAAACGTGCGCGTTTCAACGACATGATTTATTTAGACAACACTTTTAACTATCTTTATGTAAGGTTTTGTGGCATGATATATAAATGATATGGACATTTAATAATACAAGTAAAATACTTGTAGTCAAGGTGTAGAAAAATATTATGCAATAGCATGCGTAGTAACAAAAATGTATCAGTAAATCGTAAAAATGAAGATGCCAAATTGACAATAAAGTTGAATGAATACTGATATATATTATTCAAAGGATTACTTATTTTCACGCAAAAACAAACTGTGAAATTAATATTTTATACAACAATAATTACGACTAGAGTTAATCTTCAAAATGAATTCTACAACCGTGAACGAAGATGTTTTACTGCAAGAGCTGAATGATAAAACTGCTGTTTTGATGGTACCCGCTCTTGTCTACATGGTGATTTTAATGTTGGCTGGACTTATTGGTAATGTTTTAGTACTCTTCTTCTATGGATGGAAGTCAAGACCAAGTACAAATAACACGTTTATCCTGTGCGTATCAATGTACGATCTAATGTTTTGTACATTATCGATACCTATAGAAATCGTGGACATAAGATTTTTCTACAATTTTCCATACGCTGGTGCGTGTAAAGTAATGCGGTTCATCAATTATTTTGCGGCAATTGGAAGTGCATTTACACTGATAGTCATATCAATTGATCGATACAGGAAAATATGCAGACCTTTCAAAAACCAATTTCAACAGTTTCATGTTAGGCTCGCCTGTGGAATGTCTATTCCGTTTTCGCTGTTTCTGTCATGGCCTGCAGCTGTCTTTTACACATCTGTTCCGGTGGAGGTATCAACTGACGATGGGATAAAGGTAACAGGCTTTGACTGCACAACTACAAAAGAACCTTCGTATAAGATATACCTTTTTATTTTTAACGGATTCTTTCTTTTTATTTTCATCGTTTCAACCGTTATCATTTTCACAATGTACGCTCTTGTGGGAAAAACCATTTATAAACACCAAAAAGCTCAAGTGAAACATACACGATGTAAATCCTCGACTGGAAGTCACGTGTTGTCACATAACAATATGTCGGATACTGGAAGGGGAAGCAGTTCGAATGGTACTGAAAAGGACAACCCTTCTTCTACCGGAAGCAATAATCATGACCAAATCGTTCAAAATAAAGCCAAAGATCATGTCAATGTCAAAACGATTAAATTTACGACAGTTATGTTTGTGATTACAATAGTGTTTATAATTAGTTTTCTACCACACTTAGCTCTGTCGCTATGGAGAGCCTTTCGAAGTACGTATGAAGGAGAAACGCTAGACGGTGCTGGTCTGGTTGCTTTTCAAATTGGTCTACGATCATACTTTCTTAACTCTGCAATAAATCCTTTAACTTACGGCTTTTTCAATCCGAGATTTCGTGCATTCTTCTACAAGCGTTTCTGTCCATGTTGCAAACGAGTAGCTGAATTACATATAACTTCTTCAAGCTCGGGGAAGCAAAATGCAATTTTGCAACTGCACCCTCAGTCTTCTCACTCAGTTGAGTAATGACAAAATGATTCGTGGCATAGGAGAACAAAATGCTAAGTTTCCATCAATATTATACCTATTATGTTGTGAAATCATACAGGACAATAATCTTGTAAACTAATCTATGCGTGATATGTATGAGAATAATTTTGTGAAACAGTTCACCACTTGATTGTGTGTATATAATACGATAGATTTAGTGACTATAATCATGTAAAAGTTTGTCATGGCCCGATTCTCTGTAAAATAATCCCGTAAAATTGTTTATGATATGTTTTCCTGGAATTTAATCCCTAAAATTAGCAATGGTCCGATTCTTTCGAATATAATTCTGTTAAATTTGGTCATGACACGGTTTTCTGTAGAATATGTCAGGATCCGATTTACTGAAATATAATCCTGTTTAATTGGTTATCACCTGATTTTCTGGCAAATAATCCTGTAAACGAGATCTTGTTCCAAATTTTTGGAATATTATCCTGTTAAATTTGTTTTGTTAAGCTGTCATTACATCCTGTTATAATATGATCTGATTTTTGGCAAATATTTTTGTAAAGGTAGCTATTGTCTTAGCTATTATTCTGTAAAATTGTTATGACCTGATTTTCTTTACTATAACCCTGTATAATTGGTCATTACACGATGTTTTGGGCTATAATCTTTAAAGTATTATAGCCTGATTTTTTTCGAGATTGTTATTGTTTGGAATTGACTGTTATGTGTTTTTATCATGTTAAATGAGTCTAGTTATGTATGTTCATGACTTTAAACCCAATAAATTGATAATTATGTAATTTCCTTAAGTATCTGAAACGGAACAGAGTCCAAACTTTCGTCACTTTAATCATGTAAAGAAGTAAAAGAAATTTTGTTGACACAGGCAATACAGGTTCAAATTTTAGTAATTTGTATAATCGTTAAATGATTTGTCCGTTTTTTAGCACTATATCGGCATGGTTTCAAAAGTTTCGAGATAAATTTCATATCAGTGTCTGTTACGTAGTTATTGCTAAATTGTTGTTTTATCTGTTTATTATGTACTGTTAAAGAAATGTACAATATCTGTATCGATTTTATAATATCAAAAAGACCTGCCTTTCTGCTTGTTTATAGTTTGTATATTAATTTCAAAAGTAGAAACAATTTGTATTCATTTCAATCTCAGTCTTAACTATAGAGTGCGCAGCAGGCGTTCTGGCTGACGAAGACAGATGATGGGCAAATGACCGCAAATGGAAGAGGTAGAGCCGACATCAAAAGCGTTTGAGATGTCTCCAAAACAAGCGTACAGTGATATTAGTACAGCATTCAAAGAGACATATTTTCCAAATTTTAACTTTTTCATAACAAGTCAATTTGTATGCACCTGTTAAAAACGGGTAATACATGCTTTCCATAGCATTTTTATATACAAGATCATTGTCATCATAGACATCAATCGTTAAAGTGTTTTAAGACACAGTTTTATGTAAATCTGTGTCAGGCCATTCCTTAAAAAATTAGTAAATTTAAAACTTTTAACATAATGCCATAATTGAATATGTTTGTATTTTTTTCTGGATGTTGCTATCATCCCAACTTTATCTCAAAGTTTAGATATCAAATGCATAGCTGTTCGTGAAGCTACAAATCAGACAATAAACGTTATATTGAAAGTCGGGCTAAAACATTTATTGTATACAGTATGCATTTATTACAGGTCGAAGTAATTAATATTTTAAAATTCCTTCATTACAGTTTTTTTACAAAGAATTGCGACACACCACGTACAAGCTCATCGTCTTATATACGTCAATTATATTCTGAAGAAGACAAATGCATAGATCATTGACCTGTCTCAGTCTAATTATCAGATAAGCGGATACAATAAGTATTTCACCACAACATATGTGTTAACAAAATGCACATGTCAATTTTGTGGTTGAATCTATTGTTATTCAAATAAAAGGTCAAAATGGGATATATCAGTAACCTAAGAAAATCAGCTGTTTTTATTTAACCGATTGTAAAAAGGTTTAGCTATAACTTGTGAAGGTTATTTTCAAATAATATGTAGAAGCTTTAAGAAACCTTTTTAAACTTTACAAATGAATCAGGAAGTTACTATGCCAGAATATAAAATAATGCAAAATGGTTATTAGCCTGAAGATAAAGCGAAAATGAATTGACATTCAATCGGATTTCACTACCATCAAAAGGAAAGGAAAAAAGTACAACATATTTACTTTGATTGGACAGAGCCTACGAACCTTAATTATACTAACCCTGGGCATAATAAGTTGTCTTTTGACAAATAACAGATGCGTATAAAAAGCTGTATCAAGTATTTCTAGGAATTTTATCATCCAATTACGTAGAAGACTTACATTATCGGAATAAGGTAGATAATGTTGCCTTTGCTATAACTCGTGATACATTTTGTCATCTTCTCTCTCATCCGTCATAAAATGCTAATTTCGAGATGGCGATTAAGATTTATGGTCTATTAATATTAATGAGAATGTTGTGTTAATGTATAAATCTATAATGAAGTTGATAAAGATAATAAAATAAGGAAAGTTTCTTTAAAAAATCTAAATGTCAATTACTCATCAATCCTGTTATTATAAGGTTCATTTGACATCTGATTCTTTCTCTGTATGAAACCAAACCATTTGAATGGTTCGTTGTACTTGTTTTAACATGCTTATTTCTTAACAACTGAAGACAGTCTTTTTACATTATGATGCGAACTCGATTATAAGGCGGTTTGTATATAGAGGATATTGAATGAGTGAAGGTTTCCTACTAAATGAATCGAACGAATGGAATAAAATTATTTCGTGCGATCCTTTAGCGAGTATGATAATATCTTAGTCAACGAGTTCAATGAATTAAGTACTGAAGCTAAATGAATATGATAAATTATCGTGTACCAAACTTAAGAACCGTTTACAATGAAATGATTTTTTCACTGAAGCACTTATAAAGTGTAACGCTAACTTGAACGTGCTTTTAGGCTAAGTTGAATGACTTTATTACACGCCTGCCCCGTGTAGTAAATGATTATGCAGGCATATTTTCTTTTGAAATATCTAATGATATTATTTTTCTTATGCATTGTAAAATGCCACTAATACTAGGGAATAGAGTCATCAAAAAGTATAAAAAAAATCAAAGCTTGAATGCAGTTGTAAAGACACTTTGATAGTTCCGTCGGATTTTATATCGTTCGTCATTCATGGAAGCGGTGAAGGGGCGGTGACCTAGTGGTCATGGAGTCTGTCCTTTCAATCCAGGGATAATGGGTTCAAGCCCTTCTCGGGTCACGTCTGTGTTTCCACATATGACAACAATAGTGGAAAGTGATCAGTATAAGTTGCAAGAACTTGTTTTGCAATCGAGATTAACTAAATCATTCCACAGAAATCAAACAAGCCAAAAAATGACAATGCATTATCGGAACAAAATTGGCATGCAATCAAAATGTGGAATATTGAAATTTATTGTCACAAGGTTTAGCAGTTTGAAATTGTTTGCCTTTACTTTTGTATAAGCTGCTAATTCAAATTACTTTCAGTTTTTTAATCCACAGATAAAATACCACAGAAATTTAAATTTTCTCGATCAATGTACGGATTTAAAATTATTTCAGTTTCTTGTTTTCAAAAAAGCTTGCTTTTCTTTTGAAAGTAAACTTGCTAAAACAGATTGATAAAAATGCTTTTAAAAAATCAAGAATTTTAATATTTTCAATGTTGTTTTTACACCTTTGTCAGAACTATATTGCATTTAAGTCAGTCTGCCGAAATATAATCACAGGATATGGCATTTACAGCAAATATTTTGCATCAGGTAGCATGTTACAATGAAAAAACTTCTTAAGTTATGACAATACAAATGCATTAACTCCGTTCAAATAGACAAAAACTACGAGTAATGTCGACTGCATTGAAAATAAGGGCTGTGGGTTCAAGCACTAGAGTGGTCAAAATTTTTCTCTTTCTTTTGTTTTCTTTTAACATAATTTATGTATCTTTCATAGCCCTTTTGGAAAGAAACAAAACAAGCAATTATCACAGTATTGAAAGCAATCCATAAGTCCCCTACCGGTTACAACCCCCGTAACCTTCTGAAGGGTCATTGGTCATTCACTTATGTTTCAATTTTTCTCTTTTTTCAGTAAATTTGTTGGAAAAGTTCTTTTAAAGTGATCAGAGGAAACATTTTTTATGAACAGACAGACGGACTGAAGGACACTCTAAAGTTAATCTTTCAAACATCCCTGTTATCAAAATATAACATTTGTAAAAGCAAAATTCTTAAAGAGGAGATAACTCTTGAAATAAAGATGCAAGACGTAATACATGATGTGAGTGTTAACAAAGGACAATTAGTAATGAAGCTGTTCATAATGAATGTTTAGTTTGAATTTGAAGTAAAAGAAAGTTAAAAGAATGCATAAGAAAAATTCAAAATTTAAGGAGGAGATAATTCTGGAAATATATATGCCAGATTTATAAGCCTTGTCATATTATTACGATGTAGGAGTTTGAAGTAAATCCTATAAGTTATGAAGAAGTTGGAGTAAAATATACCAATTTCTCGAAAAAAAATCTAAGTTCAAGGGGGACATATTTCTGGAGTATTGAACCTTCTCACAAATGATTTGAGTGATAATAAGAAACATATATATGAAGTTTGAAGAAGATACATTTAGAAATAAAGAAGTTATCGAAAAAAATAATTTTTTTTGTTCATAAAAACTTTTAGTTCAAGGGAGGCACTTCTGATAATTTTTGTGCTAGAGTTGTAAACCTTGTCACATATGATGTGGTTGATGACCAGATACTTACATTTGAAGTTTGAAATAAATACCTTAAGAAATAAAGAACTTACAGTGAAAAAACCTAAAAACTAGAATCAAGAAATCTTGACGAGGTTGCCAACGTTTGTTAAGTATGACGGCTCTCAATATACTCCCTATAGTCAAGATTAAAATGATGTGTATAATTTCCTTACTTCCACCTATCCATATTTTAAGTTTCACAAAAATTATCAGCTCTTTTTGACTAATCACAAATATTGTTATATTTGCCATGTTTTAAGCTTATTTGTTTCCATGGCATTTTTTTTTTTTTTTTTACATGTTTAAAATTTGTTTTTTTACATATATGAGTAATATAAATCAGTACTAAAACATAAAAGTAATGCTTTTTTATAAAAAAAAATGATTGTGACCAAATTGCAAAACTGAACAAATTTTCAATTATCATGTACATTTTTCAGTTAATTTTGTAAATACACATGTATATTGTTGCTCGTTCCACAATATTTAATATTATAAAACATGCAATGCCTCATGTCATATAACGGCGTAATTACTATAGAGGAGTCACATCCCCCTTTTCTTTCTTTTTTCAAAATGATAAATTTACATGTACTCTAAACTCACCTATCTCTATAGTCTGTGTATGCCATTCTGTCAAACTCTCAAGCTTCTTAATGCCGGACAATGTATAAATCCATATTGAATAATAATTTGTTTTCTTTTTCTTTCTTTTTTTGTACTTGTCACACAAAACACAACATTATTTAAAATGTTAACACGAGCGTCTGCTCTAATAACTTCACACTTTCACACAGGGAGTCCCGTATCAATCTTACACATGACGTAATTTTAACGGTAGATATTGACCAATCAGTAATTAGTAAAACAGGTAAACTATGGAAGAGCAATAAAGTCTTCTTTCTCTGTGTTCCGATTCCGCTCTGGGCATACTCACATACTTTTGTTTTTCTTTTTTTTTTCAGAATTTACTAATATAAGTAGTATAATTCTATATTATATATTACCTCTGACACTGATTTTCATATATTTATATCAAGCCATTCTTATTATTACTCTCCCCCTGTACAGTTAATTTTACGCATTTTTATTATGTAATAGATTGCTAACTTAATTATATATGTTCACCATATGTAATCTCATGATTTAAGTTGTCCTCTGAGATATTGCATGCTGTTCATTATTGTGACTTTGTACGAGTTTTATTTATATAATGTTTTGCTCTTGTATTTGTATATATGCAAACTGACTTGATATCAATAAACGAATCTTTTTAAAAAAAGGTTTTCTTATACGAGGGGGTTTTTCCCAAAAAATAATAGGACTGGGGGTCTTGCTAACATAAATTTTTTTTCCTTTAATATTAAAAATATTTTTTTGGAAAAATAAAACTTTTTTTAATTTAAACAGTGTAAAAAAGCGCGTTTTCCGTGAATAAAACCCCGGTAACCCCGCAACCCCGGCCCCACACATCCAAAAAAATATTTGAAGCTCGTTTCGATACATATCTGACTTTTTTGTCCCAAAAATTTTTAGTTCCTTACAGTGCTTTTTTAGGATTTAATACCTATATTTTTTACCCTTTTTATAAAGTTTTTCTCAGTTAAAAACAATTTAATTTTAAATTTGGGAAAATAATTTGAAAAGATCAATAAGAAGTATTTTATTCTCACCGGGAAATATAGCTTATAGCAAACATTGTATCTAAAAGAAAGACATCAGAACTAAATTTAAAGACTTCAGAAAAAAGCTAGCTTGACACCTGTGTATTCACATCCTAATTGTATGTGCTTATAACTGTGTTAAGTTCGACATCTGTCATTTCTGGGGATAGTCATCGCTTTGCAAACACAGCAATACTCATATGAGCCGCGTCACGACAAAACCAACATAATGGGTTTGCGACCCGCATGGATCCAGACCAACCTGCGCATCCGCGCAGTCTGATCAGGATCCATGCTGTTCGCTATCAGTTTCTCTACTTGTAATAGGATTGGAAAGCAAACAGCATGGATCCTGATCAGACCGCGCGAATGCGCAGGCTGGTCTAGATCCATGCTGGTCGCAAACGCACTATGTGGTTTTGTCGTGACGCGGCTTATATAGAGATACAGACTCCGTCAAATCATGTTTGAAGATAATAAAGGTAGTAACAATTATTATTTAGCCTATCTCTAGTAAATTCTACAATATTTCTACATTAAAAAATAGAACGAAAACATAATAAGAACAAAAATCAACAATGCAAACGGAATTTTGACAGAACGCAGCCCCTGACACAATCCGGCATCATCAGCAGGTCACCCAAGAGGCACCGAACCAAAAAAAGGCGGGGGGGAACAGGACATGACATAAGGGTGGTAAAAACGAGCGAGAGGACATGCAAAAGGAGAGGGACATGCAGTAAGTAAATATGATAAACAAGATCAACAAGGAAAGGCGGCGTTTAATGAACGCAACCCCCACATAGTAATAAAATGATTCCGTGCCCAGTGGGGCACCAATATTAAAGTCACGAGACTATAAAGTATTAGTGCCTCAGTGTACACAGAACCTGCAAAAATGTAAGATTAAAGAAAATTTGGGCATGAAAATTATAATAATACAGTGGAAATAAATATAAACTATAAGTCTATGAAGACTGGACATGGAGGAGGACACCAACACTGAACGCCGAACAATCCCTCGCATATTTTTTTTTTTATAAATTCATCATGTATGTCCCTAAATGAAACATTACCACACCTATAATTATTATCCTTTCTACTAGATAGTAAAACTAAATAATAAAATTATAATTTTCCATTTTTTATTAAAATAAACAATCGTATATTCATTTCAAAAATAAAAGGATTTTTGTTATCCAACTACTTCCAAAGATCTGAAAAAAGAAAATTTGAAGAATATGAAAGAAATGTTAAAGAAATTGTACGGACTAGAGTTATGAGTTATGACAATGCTTTTGTCAATGCAATATTGCAAATAAAATGCCTGTAATAGGGAACGCTACATAGTTTCAAATTCATTCATAAATTTCTATGAATAAAATAGTTTACTCAAAGATGAGCAGATTATATCTTTAAATTGTTAAAATTTTGGTAAAAAGGCAATAACTAAATATAGTTTAAACAAAATTAATTTATTAATTAAAAAACAAGGGAAAAGTTTTACGGTTCCCTACTTCCAAAAGTAATGTTTCAAAAATTTTTCTATAACCTTTTTTGAAATGTTTTTAAATTCCCCCTGTGATTTTATTTCCCCCTTATTTCGTCAACCCGCTTTCCACCATATTGTATGTTCCGCCACTTTTTAAACAATGAACAGTCATTCCATAAAAAATTTCCGGGTGGCGAATTAGATGCCATGAAACCAATTTTCATCGTCTTTGGGTAGTTATCGGGTTGCCCTGGTTTATCCGGGAAAATTTTTAAAACCCTTACCGGGAAGTCAAGTTACCCGTTGTTCACCCAAATCCATTTTCCCCTTCTTTTTAAAACCCATCTGCCCCAAAGCGACCCCAAAAGGAATGTTTCCCCCTGCCCTTTGAAAAGTTCAATTTGGGATTATTTTGTTCTTTTTGTACAACAATTTAAACAAAACTTTAAAAACAGATAAAAAAAAAGATAACCCTTTTTTGGTATGAAATTTGGCGTATGAATTTCGGCTATTATCCCAAAAAAATTAACACAAAAGAAGGGGTTTTCTCCCCATTTTCAAAAAATATTTAACATTTGTGTACGGGTTTAAAACAGTATTTTCTATTTGTGCTAGTTTAAAGCCTTATGTGCAAATTAAAAATATTACACCTTAAATTATAAAATTTTGAATTGATTTGAAGGGAAGGGAAAAAAATCAGTTGGTTCAGCGAGGTTTAACGCCCCGTTTTTCACGATCTCAAAAATATACTATAATTAATTAAAAAAAAAAAAAATAAAATTTAAAAAACAAAAATTTCACTTTAATACCCATTATTCCATTTTTTCCCTGGGAATATTTACACTTTTCCCCCCCTAACAAAGTAAATTAGGGGGGAAAGGAACCAACCCCCTTACATGGGAAAGCAATTTTTCCTGGATTTTACTGACATTTTGTTCCTCAAATTTTTTAAATTTTTTTCAAAGTTTTGGGGCAACATGGGGTAAAATCTACCCCCAAAACCAAAAAATAAGAAAAAAAAGGGTCTTTATAGGTACGCGTTTTTTGTTACGTTAAAAGCTTACGTTTACGAAGTTTGGCTTCAGCTTTTATGAAAGCATTCTCATCCGCATCATTGATTTCAACTAAATGACCCATCATCTCTCTACAAAATTGCTGAAAAAGACAATAATTTTCTTCTTATTTTACATTATAACTAGTGTAATCAGATAAAAATGCTTCGCCGACGCCGTCACAAGACCATTATAGTCATACTTCAATGTGTTACATAGGTGTTCCATTTAAATGAATGCAGATATGTTTTAGATAAATATAATAGAATATTACATGATTTACTTGCGCGTACACATTTCTATCAAGCAGGACGTTAACATGTATTACTAATGCAATATACTCTCCAAAGTTCATCTTTTCTTTTTATATTCCGAAAAAACAACTGAAACGCAGTAAAACAAGCAATTATCTTAGTATTGAAAGTAATCCATAAGTTCCCTGCCGGTTAGAATCCCAGCAACATTCTTAAGGGCCATTGGCCATTCAATTATGTCATTGAAAGAATGAATGACATGAATGAACTTAAATCTTTTGAGTTCTTAATTTTTTTGTATCATACTTTGCGTTAAATTTCCCTGCCTAGCAATGTTATTATGTTTACATAAAAGATAATCAAAAGGTCAATTTTTCTCAGGATGAATAGTATAACTATATGAATGTTTCAACTTTTCTCTATTTTAAGTATATTTGTTGGAAAAGTTCCAAGTTCTTAAAAAGTGATCTCAGGAAGACTTTGTAGGAACGGACAGACAGACGGGATGATCGAAGGACACTATCAAAGTTAATTTTTTAAGCATCCCTGTTTTATAACTGAAATATAACATTTTTTAAAGCAAAATACTCTTGAAATAAAGATGCTAGACTTATTTACAGTGCCATACATGATGTGAGTGTAACAAAGAGCAATTATCTTACGTTTAAAGAAGATACTATTTATAGTCACAAAGAAGAAAAACAAAACAAAATTTGTTTACATTCGAAAGAACACAAAACTATCAACGTACTAGTGCTCCTATCCATGATTCTGTGTCATGGCTAAAATGGTAACAAGATGATCCGTGGGTCATCCATCCACTATGACAACAAAGACCTAAGAAAGTTAAAACACCACTGGTATAAAATTTTATATATTTTAAAGCAGCATGCCCTCAGAATTATGCAAATTATCATAAAAATTCTGAAAAAAGTAATATATTATGAAGTGAACAAAGAAAGTTATATACACATTGCAAACGGCTGGTAGAACCACGTAAATTACCAAATTGAGGTCCAAATATGCGGGGAAAAAACCCTAACTGCGTTAGTAACGCAGTAGAAATATGGTGATAAATATTGCAAAATTAGTCTTAAATTGCACATAACATGTGAATTATTACTCTTGAACCTTTTTACGTTCCTTTAAATTTATGGACATTTTGTTCAAGTTTGATTTTCTTGAAATATTGTGGCTCATCTGGGGGCATGCAGATTTAGGAGCTTATGATTGAAAAGTATTGACTCATTGTAAGAAGTTATCTGTGGATTTTTATAATTATATCAGTTAAAATCCAGGCGCTTAAAGTTAAAACTATTTGTCAAGTTCTCAGTATGGTCTATTAAAATGTACTTGTGCATTTGTATATTTGGATCACTCATAAGGGTAGATGGGACTAAAGTACAGACTTATTTGTCAATGGTCAACTGCGAATCAGTTATATATATATATATTTCTTTTTTCGTCAAAGATGATAGGTGAAAAAATCAACACTATCCGTGAATGAATTTGAAATGATATCATCCATATTTTTCATTACTTTAGGCACAAACTGGACGTAAGTTGCAACTTTGTTTGAAGTGCATGCTTGCTTTACCGCTTGAGTATACTAAACTACGCATGCGCACTGTCAAGTCTTTATGACATCAGTGTAATATATATCTTATTCTAAATTCCAATTATCTTAATGTTGAAAAAAGCAAGAGAATTTTCATTATTACCATAACATTTAAAGGGTTATTTACCTCAGTACGATGATAAAGCGATTTTAGTTTGTTGTTCTACTTTATAAGCCGATCTTAACACATTATTTGGTCACATACCAACGGTCGATTAACCTAACCGGCTTTCCTAGATAACTTTACAATAATTAACATTTTCTCCGCAGGTGACCGACTCTGTTTAATCAGACACAATTTCTGAAACAGCGGTGAGAAACAAATGCACATTAGGCTATGTCCGAGACCAATTTTTCACGGAGAAATTACGCTTCGAAGCAGACCTTGGAGGATTACGAACACGATGGTCTCTCTATTGAACTAAGCAGGCGAACAATGAAGCGACTAACGAACTTAAACGTGTGATCGTGTGACAAAAGCACATGCACAAAAAGTACTTTATTAAATTCATTGAGGTATGCTTTAGAAAATTTGCCCAAATTATGGTGATGTATAATAATAAATCTGTTTACACAGGAACAAAATAAACAAGCTGAAAATAACTTACCCTGTGTAAATAAACTGCATATTGACAAAATATAAACGCCTAACTTAACAAACATCGTCATCTTTTGTTAATTCTTATCAGCAGTAAAATATCAAGGGCACACTGTTCTTATCAGTTGAATTTTTTTAACATACATATATAGAAACAAAAGAACGATAACTTTTATGTTTATTATTATCTGTTAATAATTACGCATATTTATTTTATAATCAGGCATCCATATATACATGTACTTACGTACACCTAAATAACAATAATGGCACTTTTCCTGTCCCCATAACAGAAAAAATAAAATAAAATAAGATACGAAACAAAATTAAAAAAAACAACAACAAAAAACAAGAACAAAAACTATTTGAGAATATAGTTAAATTACATTGTTTAAGCGCTAGAATACCACTACACTCTCACATTTTTTAGTACAAATATATATTTTTTTTTCAAAAAGACACACATTTTTTCAACGAATAAACTTGAGTTTCAGTAACTATAAGACAATAATACTGACAATTCAATTCAGTACATTTCTCATTAATGTTATTGTTTTTTAATATGAGTGAAACTGATACAGAAATTAACCAATTCCAAACGTAACACAATGTTTTATCATTGCACGAAATTAATGAGATTAAATACTATCTCAAATTCTGTCAGTTAATTTAGTTACAGAAGGAACTCGCGCATCAAGTTTATTATTTTTACATAAAATCTCAAATAATTTGTGAAGAACATGCAACACGACCCTTCTTTGACTAAAGCCAGCCGACCCTTAAGTTTCCATGAAATCCGTATTAAAACAATAAAAGTAAACCATTGGCTATTCCCTTATGCTTTGGATAAGGTCTACGATAAGGTCTATTTCGAGAAAATCAGATAGATGTCGGAGGTCTTGTGCGAAGCATGATACACGAGGAAATTAGATTGATAAAAAAATCGTAATCCCTACCCTTCTTAACTATTAAAGTCGTTTGCCCTTAAGCACAATTTTCTGTTTGTGCAACATAAAGGTTAAATGGGCATTTTCAAACATTTATCAATCCATTGTTTTTGTTTGCAGGTTTTTGTTGTGTTCAAATTTCTTAAACATATTACTGAGTACATAATGAATTGTGTTTACGACAACCATACATCGAAGTTATATTTAAACCAGTATTGTGAAGTACTTTTTGTTGTCCCATTACATATTAATGTAATATATAGATATTTTTTTCTTTTGAAGAATCTTTCTGTTACAGAAATTAACAAGGCGGGAAGTTTAAGTCTTAGGAGAAAGATATAAAAATTCGCACATGTTTATGTCGTTGCAATTGTACAGTTAAAATGAAACATGTACATGAATATATTCCATCCTGGACTTCCTCAATGTTACTGATATTGTTTATCTAAGCTCTTGTTATTGTACTTTCAGGAAAGAATGTTTTATGACATTTTTACTATACAAATCAATACAAACCAAATGACCCCAGAGCGGAGCATTTTTTACCCCAGGGGTATGACTTTTAACCTGATGTAGAGATCAACTAGACAATGCCACATGCTTACTAAATGCGTAGTTATTTGGAAGAGATTGTTTAAGATATTTTATAAGTTTATATTGATTAAGTGACCCCTGGGGCGGGACCAATTTTGGCGCGACGTTATGGTTTCTATAACTTTTGTAGAGGTCCCCTTGGCAATGTTACATGCAAAATATCAAAACACTAGTCATTGCAGTTTCTTTAAAGAAAACCTAAATGTTTATCCCTATATAATCATTTGCGAACTAAGTGACCCCTAGGGCGGACCATTTTTTATTTCAGGGGTAGCTTTTGTAGTGGATCACAAGGTGATATTTCAATAATTCCATACCTAACTTCTAAGCATCGTAGTTTGTGAGATAGAAGTTTTTTTTAATAAATTTAATTTATGGACTTTATTTATGTTCCTGAAAACATACTTCTGCATCAGACTGGAACCATTTATATCACCTTTGCAGATCATCCCGTAAAATTGATTAAATGCTATCAAATGATTCTGAAGGAGATAACGACCTTCGACAAATAACGGACGACGGACACACTGGCATCCCAAAAGCTCACCTCTAAGCACTCTATGTTCAAGTGATATAAGAAAGAAACAAAATAAGGAAACAAAATAAAAAGATTTCTAACAAGGTTTCAATTTGATAATAAATTGCGTCATTTTTGTCGACCCCTTAGTTTCAGCTTTTGAATATATTTGAGGATATAGCGTTGTTGTAATTGTTAGATCAACACTATTTTCTCAGTTAATGCACTCTCTAGGATCATACAGAGTCTGAAATGTTTTTATTTTTTCCGTTCTGGACGCCTTATGATTTTTCTCTCTTTCTCTCTCTATATATAATAAATTTATTTTGAAGTGAAATGATTTATTTTATTTCTTTCACATCCTATCTGAAGCTGTAGCTATTAAACCAATAAGACATAATTATAAATTTACCCATGCGTTTTATTTCTAGTTCAGTTCAACAAATATTTATCATTAAAGTATAGATACAAACGTTCTATATAACTCGTTTTACTTGTTTATTTGACTCCAGTATCCAATTTCAAAATACTTAAGATGGTTTGTTTGATTATTCAATTCAGACAAAAAAATGAAAACAAACCCTATTTACATTTTTTAAGTAAATTCCCTTTATATTTTTAAATTTTTGTTATTTTTTGTTTCCCAAAAATGAAAACCCCTTTTTCAACCCCCAAAAATTTTTAAAAATTTTTCCCCATTTCCCCCAAATTTAAAAATGTATGCGGCCCCTTTCGAACAATTAATTTTTCCCTAAAAATTTTTACCCCTCTTGAAAGTTAGTTTGGCCCCCGTGGTTTTCAAAAAATTTAAAGGACCCCTTATAATAAAGAGAGAGAATAACTGAAATATTCAGGATGGTGAAAAGTGTTTTGCAGGAGAAATGAAAATATAAAAGTTCTAAAAAAGATATGAAGTACAAAATCGATAATAAAGTTTAAGGGATGATGCAAAATTATATTAATAGGATAACTTATATATATAAAGAAAACCAAACAAACAGAAAAAACAAAAAACAACAACAACAACAACAACAAAAAAGCAGTTTACAAAATAATCAGTATTTTAATAAGACCGCCCGAAGTTTATCTCTATCTTCGAAATGAATAACTCAACCGTGAACGAAGATGTTTTACTGCAAGAGCTGAATGATGACACTGCTGCTTTGATGGTACCCGCTCTTGTCTACTTGGTGATTTTAATGTTGGCTGGACTAGGCGGTAATATCTTAGTTTTCTTCTACTATGGATGGAAGTCAAGACCGAGTACAAACAACACGTTTATTCTGTGTGTAGCAATGTACGATCTGATATTGTGTTCCTTGTCCATTCCTATAGAAATCGTAGACATAAGATTTTTCTACAATTTCCCGTACGCTGGTGCTTGTAAAGTAATGCGGTTCATCAATTATTTTGCGGCAATTGGAAGTGTATATACTTTGATTGTCATATCTTTAGATCGATACAGGAAAATATGCAGACCTTTCAAAAATCAATTTCAACAGTTTCATGTTAGGCTAGCGTGTGGAATATCTATTCCGTTTTCATTGTTGCTTTCATGGCCTGCAGCTGTCTTTTACACATCTGTTCCGGTGGAGGTATCAACAGATGATGGGATAAAAGTAACAGGTTTTGACTGCCACAACTACAAAAAAGAACCTTCGTACAACGATATACCTTTTGATTTTTAACGGATTCTTTTTTAGGCTTCGTCATTTTAACCCTTGTTCTGTTTACAAAATTTTCGTCCCTTGGGGGGAAAAGCAATCTATAAACAAAAAAAATTAAGTAAAAAATTCACGAAAAACCCCCATTGGAAGCACGTGGGTTTTCAATAAAATAGCTGGGAAAAAGGAAGGGGGGTAAATTACACGATATTGACCCAAGGGGCAAACCCCCTTTCCCCCGGGAATTTAAAAAACCAAAGGGAAAATGTTTAAAAATTTAAAAAAAAATCATGTCAGTGTAAAAAAGATTAAAAATTTTCCCACAAAATTATGTTTGTGATTTCAATAGGGGTTTTTTAAAATTTGTTTTTTTACCCCAAAATTAGCTCCCCGTGTATGGAGAGGTTTTTGAGAAAGTATGAAGGAAAAAAAACGCTTTAAAGGGGCCCGGGCTGGTTGCCCTTTTAAATTGGTCCACCCAAACAAAACCCTTTCTTAAATTTTGCCCAAAAAATCCTTTAACTTACGGCCCTTTTTAAAATTTGAAATTCCGGGGATTCTTTAAAAAAGCCTTTTTGTGTGGTGTAAAGGGTAACTGATTTTCATTTTCAAATTTCCAAACTGGGAACCAAAAATTTAAATTCCCAAAAGGATCACCCTTCCCTTTCAATAAGGAGGGCAAAATAACCCAAGTTTTTGGGGGACAAAATTTAAACCCAAAAATTTCGGTTCTATAATTTTTTGAAACCCTTTTTTCCCGTTTAAGGTTATACCAATTTATTCCCCATTTCCCATTGGGGAAAAGGAGAAATTTTGTTTTAAGGGCAACCCCTTTTTAGTAAAAGGGTTTTTTCCCTTGGAAAAGGATTTAGAAGTGAAAAAATTCAGAACCCAAAAATCGTATTTCCAAAAGAGTAGGTTTGGGGTCCCCTTTTGATATTTGAATTGTTAAAAAACCTTTTTCCCCTAAGATTTTTGTATATAATAAAAAAATAAGCGGGTTCGATTAAATTTTGTGAAAATTAATTTAAAAATGAGAAAAAATTGGCTGATTTGTGGAATGTTATCCCTTTTACATATGGTCCCCCGGGGTTTTTTCCCGAAAGTTATAAAACAAAAAATTTAAAAAGTCCCTGGTGACCCCTTTTTTTATAAAACCCCCGAAAATTTTGGGCTTTATTTGCCCGGAATGAAAAATTAAATTTAAAAAATCCCCTGGTAAATTTTTCTGGAATGTAAAACCCTGTAAAATTGGTAAAACCCGTTTGTTTTTATAGAATTTTTAATTTTGAAAATTTTCCCAAGGGGGATTTTCTGCCAACCCAAAAACCTGGTTACTGGGGGGACCCGTTTTCCCTATAATTATAAAAAACGTTATATGTGATTTTATCCCTGTTTAAATGGGGGCCCCGGGTGGATCTTTTA